CTCTGTACACTGCACTTATTGGGCACAAAGGCTCTGCACACTGGTTATACACTGGATACAGCGGCTCTCCCTGATGTGACAGCTCTCTGGACTTCTGCTCCTCCAGAGGGAGCAGAGGAAGGCAGGTAGGGAGAAAGAAAGGCACTCTCCCAAACTAAAATTAGACCTTCCTCCATTTCTTCCAGTCTCTCCACGACTCTCTGTCTCCCTCACTCATTGACAGCCTGGGAATGTGACAGGATTCGGCAAGTCCCACATCGTCCAATGGCAGTGTGGGAAACTGGGAGAGAGGACCTGCCTCTCTGTGCCCTGTGTCTCTCTCTCTGTGCACACACACACACACTCAGTGGGCCCTGCGGCTGCTTATTTCTCTGTGTATTCCTGTCAGTTAGCAGGCTGTGTCCTCCCTCCCTCCTCCACAGGAATGGACAATCAGTCCTGGCCGCGGTCAGATCCTCAAGGGTTCGGTGCTGGTGACGGAGGGAGGACAGCAGCCGGGCCCGAGGGTTTCGAAAACGCCACCCTCCACAACGGGACGCTCTGGCGGGGCCTGTACCCGGGCTGGGAGGGCACAGGGAACGGCAGCGCGCTGCCGGCCCACGAGAGGGACCTGGAGCTCGCCCGGGCCGAGATCGCCGTGCTGGCCACCATCCTGGCGCTGACCACGCTGGGCAACAGCCTGGTGCTCTGGGTGCTGCTCCAGCGCCGCAAGCACCACGCGCCCATGCACGGCTTCATGGTCAACCTGTGCTTGGCGGACCTCGTCGTGGCCTTCTTCCAGGTAAACCGGACTGGGCCGGGTCTGACTGGGGAAGGGGCACAGCAGGAGGCACGTTGGAAAGCTCTTCACGACTCGGTGCAACCTGTGCCACTGACTCAGACACACCCACTGAGGCCACTGCACGCACACTGACTCTCTGACACACCCACTGACAATCTGACAATCTGACACATCCACTGACTCTCTGACACGCCCACTGACAATCTGACAATCTGACACATCCATCGACTCTCTGACACGCCCATCGACTCTCTGACACACCCACTGACTATCTGACACGCCCATC